ATCTAGTTCGAAGAAGTTCGTGGGAAAATCTAACTTCCGTTAAGTTCGGCCGAGGTCACCTTCCCTAATCTGAGGGTCACGATTTCACTTTGCTGATTTACTGATGTTTTGGAATAAGTTCAATTTCGGTGGTAGTGAAGCTGGCTCGATCTCTTCTTTTTAAAAAGATTACACTTGGACTCGCCCTGAGGTAGTCTCATCCGGGCAAAACTCAACATGGCATGCGGTCTCCTTTACCGGAATGGCGCTTAAACCGCATATTTTACCGAGATCGACCAGTGACGGCTACAACTTCAGCAGGATTTCCCTGAACCTTGGCAGGACTTTCCCGATGTTCGGCAGGCTTTCCCTGAACACTGGTAGGACTTCCCTGAAGTTCAGCAGAACTTCCCTGAACTTTAGCAGAACTTCACTGAACTTCGACAGAACTTCTCTGAATTTCCGTAGAACTTCCCTGAACTTCAGCAGGACCTCCCTGAGCTTCGGTAAGACTTCCCTGAAATTCGGAAGGACTTTCCTGAACTTCGGCAGAACTTCTCTGAATTTCCGCTGAACTTCCCTGAACTTCGGCAAGTCTTCCCTGAACTTCGGAAGGACTTTCCTGAGCTTCGGCAGACCTTCCCTGAATATTGGTAGGACTTCCCTGAAGTTCGGCAAAACTTCCCTGAACTTCGGAAGAACTTCCCTGAACTTCGGCAGAACTTCTCTGAATTTCCGCAAAACTTCCCTGTACTTCAGCAGGACTTCCCTGAGCTTCAGCAAGACTTTTGAAGAACTTTCCTGAACTTCGGCAGAACTTCGGCAGAAGTTGGTCACGATTTTGTTCAGCAGTCTGCCGGAGGAGTACGAGACGTTGGTAACCGCCCTTGAAGCTCGACCAGAGAATGATTTGACCCTGGAAATGGTGAAGGGCAAGCTCATCGATGAATGGCAGAAAAAGAAGCAGCGCAACGATGATAGCGATAATCCTGAAGCTGTTCTGTATGCAAGTTCAAAGGCCGAAAAAGACCGGTGCTTCTTTTGCAAAAAGTTAGGTCACCAGAAGGCAAATTGCGAAAAGTTCAGAGTATGGAAGGCGGAGAAAGGAAACGGAGCTGTATCCAAGCACCGAAAGGCAGTATCCAAGCAACAGAAAGCCAACCACGTATCGCAGCAAGATGATGATGATAGCTACGCGTTTCTCACTGGATGCAATAGTCAAGCGGAAGACCAATGGATTTTGGATTCCGGTGCAACCTACCACATTGCAAATTACCGGAACTTCTTCGAGGATTTGGATGATGCAGCTACTGAGGACGTTTGGGTCGCCAACGGGACGAAGGTACGTTCGAAAGGCCGAGGTGCTGGGCGAATAAATGGGCTAGATGGTTCGGGTCGACTACGTGAAGTTCCAATAGAAAGCGCTTTGTATGTTCCTGAAATGAAGTCAAGTTTGCTATCCGTGAAGCGGCTGGTGCAGAAAGGATTCGTCGTCACATTCGACGCAACTGGAGCGAGAATCATGAAAGGTGAAAAGATATGTGCTATGGCGGAGTTCGTTGGTAACTTGTTCATAATTTGTCAATCAACCGAAAACGTATCCATGGTGATGACGAACGATGACTGCGTGCATGCGTGGCACAGACGATTGGGACACAGAGACTGCGAAGCGGTGTTGAAATTGCAGACCTTGGTCAACAGCGTGAGGGTGAAGAGATGCAGCTGCACTGATGCATGTGAAGTGTGCATTGAAGGTAAGATGCACAGGACATCGTTTCCGAAGACGTCAGAAAGTGTGTCATCGGCGGTGATGGATTTGGTTCACACTGATATCGTGGACCAATGAGGACGGCGACTCTGGGCGGAAGACGATATTTCATCACATTCATCGACGACTACAGTAAGTACACGGTCGTTTATTTGCTACGGAAGAAGTCTGAAGCGCTCCAGAAACTGAAGAAATATGTTGAGCTAGTAAAGACGCAGTTTGGAAGGAAGCTCAAAATTCTCCGCTCGGACAGGGGTGGTGAGTTTACTGGCAAGGCATTCAATGCATTCCTGAAGCAAAACGGTATCATCGGCCAGCTCACGGCACCATACACCCCACAGCAAAATGGGGTAGCAGAACGAAAGAATCGTTACCTTGTCGAAATGGCCAGGTGCATGTTCATTGACGGACATCTGGACAAGCGTTTCTGGGGAGAAGCAGTGGTAACTGCAAACTACATGCAGAACAGGCTGCCATCACGGTCGATCAGTGGCACATCATATGAGCGGTGGTCGGGAAGAAGCCCAATCTCGGACACATTCAGCGGTTTGGTGTGGATGCGTACTGCCATGTACCAAATGAAAAGCGAGGTAAGCTGGATCGGAAGGTTGTCAAGCTCAGGTTCGTCGGATACAGTGAAGTATCAAAGGCTACCGCCTGGTGGACGAGACGAATGGAAAAGTAACTGTTAGCCGTGATGTTAACTTTCTTACATCTACATGAAGCAGCCTCCCGGGTATGTCGTCAGCGGTATGGAAAACAAGGTATGCCATTTAAAGAAAAGTTTGTACGGGTTCAAGCAAGCGGCTCGTTCTTGGAACCAGCGACTGCATGAGGTGATGGAAGCGGATGGTTTTGAGCGATGTGACGCAGATCCCTGCCTGTACAGAAAGCGAGCTGGTAGCAAGTGGTGCTATGTTCTCGTGTATGTGGATGATCTCATCGTAGCGAGCGAGGATGAACGCATGATCGACGCATTGAAGCGAACGCTTGCAAGAAATTTCCAGATCAGCTGCCTCGGTGATGTCAAGTTTTACCTCGGGATCGAAGTCGATCGAGACCATGCTGGAGATTTTCTTATCAACCAGTGGAAATACATTGAAGACGTCATCTGTTCTGTTGGCCTACAGGATGCGAAAATGTCAACCGTGCCAATTGATCCTGGGTACATCAGGACGGAAGATAACGATGGCCAGCTCCCAAATAATCAAGAATATCAAAAGGTAGTTGGGCAGCTGTTGTACATCGCAGTAAACAGCAGACCTGACATCGCAACGGCAACCTCAATCTTGAGTCGTAAGGTGAGTTACCCAACCCAACGTGACTGGAACGAGTTGAAGCGAATGGTTCGCTACCTGAAGGGGGCGATTGATCTGAAGCTTCGGCTGAGTAGCAGTGGTGATTCATCTGGTCTGGTGGGTTACGCTGATGCCGATTGGGGAGAATGTCACGACGACAGGAAGTCCAATAGTGGATATGTATTCAAATACTGCGGAGGAACCATTGCAATCCTGCATCTCAGCAAGGATATCCTGCGTTTCACTATCTACAGCAGAGGCGGAATTCGTGGCTCTTTTCGAAGCATCCCAAGAAGCGGTTTGGCTGCAGAGACTATTGAAGTACCTAGGGGAGAAAACATAAGCAATATTATTCGAAGACAAGCTGTTTGTAGATGCTGGACTCCGAAAAGTTCAGTAACCGTACCAAACACATTTCAACAAAATTTCACTACTCCAAGGACCTGAAGACGAAAGGTGTTATCAAGTATGAGTACTGCCCTACGGAAAAGATGGCCGCGGATCTTTTAACCAAACCTCTACCACGAATACGGTTGGAATTTCTAAGGAAGCAGTGTGGTCTACTGTAGCAGCGTTGAGGAGGAGTGTTGAGTATATACAACGCAGTATGCCTTGTTTTTAGAGCATAACTTCATTTTCTTCAGTTCAAATTATACTACTGACAAATAAAGACGTTCCTTTCAATTGTAGTTCGAATAGTATTTCGAGTCCAGTCCGATTGTTCCCACTTCTGCCGATAATTTTATCTGTCAAACTTTCATAGCGAATCAAACCAAACAAAGGTAAGTACTAGAATCTTGACTAGAATGGAGTATGTTAATCGATTTGCTTGGGACCAATAGGCTAGTCAAGTAGTGAGCCAATTTAAAATCGTTAGTTACCACCGGTTGATTTAATGCTTATCTATACTGCAGAGCTCACCATCTCTAAGTATTGTTCTAGTAATTTTAATTATCAATATTCCGAAAACTTTAAAAATTTGTGAAAAAACGTCCAATTTGAAAAAAATTATAATATCGCTCAGCTCTCTGATTGGACCATAAACATGTTTACAGTCTAATCTGTCATTCAACCAAAAAAATTGACAAATGCTAATAGGACCTTTGTTTCATCTCGTGTTTCACGTGGAATAGAAAAACTAAAACTCATAATAGTTAGTTGGAAATGCTATACTAATGTCAACATGAAGCTTTAGTGTGATAATACCGTTGTAGACCACTTTGATGTGGATCTTGATCCACTGGACGACAGCGATGTAGATTTGATCGAATAACATGAATGAATGTGAATTATTGATGAACAGCTTGAGCTAATAAATGTAAAACAAATCATGTAGAGTGAAAAAAAAACAGTTTTTTTAATAAAAATATACAGAATATGAAAAAATATGTAAATTTTCCAAACACTTTCATTTTCCCTGCATACATCAGAAAAATAATAATCGACAAGTTCTTAATATAAACGTTGTTTACTTAATAAATTGACAGAATAGTAGTTTTAAGCCCATCAACAATTACAAATAATGTTGTAGTTGTAATTATCTGACCTCAAAACCGTATTCTTTACAAGGTCCTAAGTAACATTAATCTTTGCTATTAGACCAATTTGACAGGTCCGAACTGATACTGAAAAAACCTATGCATTCGAGAATACAAAAGATTATCGTTTTATGTCGTAATTCAGAATGGCATTTAAAAATATATTGCAAAAATTCAAATTATTTTTTCTCCAATCAGCTTCAACCTTTTGACCTTTTGAAATGTTTGTCTAGATTTGATTACGTTACGGAATTATTGGTGGTGGAAAACAGACATGAACTAAGTTCATGGATTTGGGATCCTATTCATAAAAATGTGAATTAACTCATCACGTTTTGAGACTGAGAGATCTGATATTCATGATTGTTATAGAAACGAATAAAGGAACCCTTTTTTGCGTGTACTGCGTTCACTTACCCAAGCTCCTTCAAGTATTGCGGCAAAAGTTTTTCAGTAAGCGGAAGCCCACGGGGCTCCATGCCGTACAGGACGCCATGCTGCATTCCGGTGTGTATCGGATACTTTCCCGTCATCAGAGCAGATCGCGAAGGCGTACAGATTGGCGACACGTAGTACCGGTTCAGGATCACTCCCGAGTAGGCAAGTGCGTCCAGGTTCGGAGTGGGAATCTGAGAGGATCCATGAAATCCGACGTCATTCCACCCGAGATCGTCCGCTAGGATGAAGACGATGTTCGGCGGTGGCTTTTCACTTGCTACCGAAGCCCATAGTGTGATAAGGAATCCTGAAAAGAAGAAGCATTGGTGAATAAATTCTTCCATTTAGATTACGTTTGATAGAAAGCCTTCAGATCAAGTAATCCATCTAATGTTGTACTCACCCAAAACTACGACAAATTGCCTTGTCATACACATTTAATCAACCAAATTGGTGACTCCACGAGCGCCACAACGGAGTTGCATATAAATATCACTTGAAGCGTGACCACCGTTTGTTGAAACAAGTCCAGAAGAAGCACGACCGGCGAACTATTACCGCGCAATGCAAAACATCAACTGAGTATATGATTAGACAAATAACCGCCACTTCAGACACTGTCTACGTAGGGGAAAGCAGTCCAAAAGGCACCACTGGTGTAATATGACCCCACACTGTTTCTCATTACTTTCCCGCTCTCTAATCTAGAACTTTATAAGGCTTTGAACCATTTGGTGGATTATTTTAACTTTTGGTTAAAATTTGACAGATGGAAAGTTATCGATTAACCCTGCTATCCGAGCGTGGTTATTTCTGACAGACAAGAAGTTAAATTTTGACGACCGTGGCTCGAAAACCGGTCGATCGACAGCACGGGGATTTTCGAATATAAGAAATAACTTTCGAAATGTCACGTTTAACTACGAGTTAAATTTATCTCGGCAAATGGTTCACAACCTAAGCATTCATGCTATAGCTTATAGGCTCTTATAGGTGCTGAACAAGCAAACCGGTTCGTCAAATTCACGATTGCAGAATAAGAAACCGTGTCGTGCCATTCTACCCTAACGGGTTCATTTTGGACTGTCTTCCACTACAAGGCTTCCAGAGTGCATAGAAAACAAATGTTCTTATCTTTATTCAACTCACTCAAGCTTCTGACATTCACATCACACTCTAACCATATTGCATTGGCACCGCAACGATCCTGACCTATATTTCACTCCACCACCGACCTCAAGTAGTACCTCACTACTCTATAATAAAACTGTCGCCAGTGCCTATAGGTAGGGTACATGGGGTAAAATATATTCACATTTTGCCAATTTTAAATACCTTCCCAAAACATTTTCGCGAATTTATCTAACAGTTGAAACATTGAACTAGCAATGCTGATTCACAGATCTTCGAAAAATGAGTATTTAACGAATTTTTTAATTTCAAAAGGTCATTTTACCCCAGAAGCTTTCAGCTGAGAAGCGCGCAAATAGTTTGTGTAAATTTTACATAGGAATAAATTGATTCGTTCGCACTCCGGAGAGAGTCGATGAACTGCGACGTGTCGAACGTGCAAAGAAGTACTGAAAAGGTTCGTCCAAAAATGTCGATCACAGAAAAGGACCATCTTAAGACTTGAGCTTGATTGCGTTGGTTTTGTCAGAAATTTAAATAGGTGTTGCAAGCAAGCTCCAGATAATGCCAAAACAGGTTTGCCGAATGCTGTTGGTGAATGACTGACTGATGGCGTAAAGTTGGCAATTTACACATGGTCGGTGATAAGTTGGTCAATGAAATCACTTAAGCTGGTTCCATGCTGCGATTTGTTGTTCACTCTCCAGAGTGGTTCTCTGTTCAAATTGTCGTGTGTAATAATCAAATAATAAATATATGTTTGGAGCGGTGTTGACAGTTTTTACTCATCTTTTGTGTAAATGTTGACAATGACTACAAAGCAAAAAAAACGTAAATTGGTCAGACGCAATTCATGCCGCTGTATCAAATATCGACGAAATTGCAAAAACTGGTACATTACAACGGTGATTGCAAATTTGTTCGCAAAAACTGTGTACGTTGTACAGAGTAAGATAGTAATGACCCGATTATGTCGACCAGGGGGAGGGGGGGAATTATCGAAATATAGAAGTCTGATGAGCAGGGGGTTCATCAGACTTCTATATTTCAATTAGGGGAAATGCAGGTTATGTCGGCCTACATGTCCCTAATTTGGGCCCATCGCTAAAAGTCTGCTATTTATCAATTTTATCTAGATGACGGTACTTATGGATATTTTTGGTCGCTATTGAAAATTTAGTCGATTGCTGAATTTATGTATGGGCCCAAATTAGGGACATGTAGGCCGACATTACCTACATTTCCCCTATTTCACATAACTTTAATTCCAAATCTTTCTCATTGATCTTCAAGATGAATGTTTATGTTAAATGACAAGCGATCGATGCAATGCATAGTAACCTGGACTATATATTAAGATCGTGGTAGGCCAATTTTTGTTGTTCTCTGTAATCCAAGCTACCGTTTAATAAAGACGTGTTAACTTTGATCTGCCTATTTTATTAGGTTGTGTGCCCAGTACAGTACAAAAAAAAATCTAAAAGTTTCGTTCCGTTAGTTCGCGAAAATGGGTGAAGAAAACCCTAATAAAAAATAACCATACACGAACGATGACCCAAATGATTGAACTACTCCATAAATGGTTTGGATGATACCCCGAACACGTCGTTAAGCAAATTAACCATAACATTTTTATTAGGGAAGTTGTGGCTGTTCGATAGAACTAACTTCGCAAACTGGAAGTTTCGAGTTGAGATTCTGATGCACGGAGAAACGAAACAACTTAAAATTAAGTCTTTTTTACTCATCTTGACACCTAAGTGAAACCAGTCAAAATTGAGTTCTTTGAGAAGAATTCAAATTTGAGTATTTTGCAAAGACTTCGTTTTGAGTAGAATTTAACTGTTTCAGGAAGAGTAAATGTTGGATAAAAACTACACAAAACCGGGTTTTCATTATAGAAAATTTAGTTGAAAAGGGGATTTTTCAGTTGTTTTCTATATTTGTGAAGAGTACTAAAAATCAATGTTATGATCGGCTTTATTTATCTTTATTACAATAAAATCTATCCACATATTGTCCCTGAATAAGCAATAAATCATAACCTACTAAATCCATCGTGTTGAGTTGGTTGACCGGGTAAAATTCCAAACTTGACCATTTTCGTTGGATGCACGGTTGGCTCCCGATACCGGCTGGTACACTCGAGGAAACGTAACAGACCCATAAATTCAGCCTAAATGATCAGTATTTGTGGAAAAAAAAAAAATAAAAAAAGAAACAAAAATTAATCATCCTGAAAACTGGATCGAAAAAATAAAATGTCATTACCTTCATTGATCCGCTGCCTTCGGATGCTGGTTATATTCCTAACAGTGGAGTCATCGGTGGCTGGTGGTGGCAATTTTGCCCACAATATACGTTTTTGACCGCACCTAAAAAAGAATTATGTTTAATTCAAGGATAATTACTGCCACTTTCCGGAAAATCTATCACGTACTGTTTAGTAGAACTATGTAGAACTTACCTTTTTCCTCTCCGGAACAGTAAACTATCATAACGTACCATAACGTGAAATTAACTAGTTGTGGTACGCAACTCCGATGTTAAAATTCGGAACGGGTAAAATTTTGTTTTCGGCAGGAAACATAGCCGAAATAAAATTGGCGCTCGTCGCGATTTTTCATCCAAAATGAACACTTTATTTTGGATACTTTCAAAGTAAAGGTAACTATTTTGGTTATACTGCAAGATTAAGTTAAAAGAGCTCACCAATGAGAACAGAAATGTATCCAAAACAGTAGTGTTAGAGAAATACTTATTTTTAAGTACTTTCAATCTCGATTTTGAGTTGTTTCGTTTCTCCGTGGGGAGAACAAAAGTTTGTTGGACTGTCTGGAGAAGTCCATCGAAGACGAGGAGTACGCGAGGGAGATCCAAGTGGACGCATCGCCAGAGACTGGAAGTGCACACGGCGAATGAGAACGACTTAAATTTGAGTTTAGTTCACTCATAATCGCCAAAAGTGCAGTAACTCAGCGATGAGTAAAATTTGTCTCATGGTTTCCTGTGGAAAACCTAAAAAATCTGCCGGAAAATGAGAAAATTGACGAAAATTTTATTCAGTCTCGGAGTAGTACCAATAGACTGAGTGAATCCAATCTTTACTTTTCTCAAATTTGGGAATTTTTTCCTGGAAAATCTTGGAAAAACCTGGGAAAACATGAGGCAAATTAACTCATCGCTGAGTTCCTGCACTTTTGGCGATTATGAGTGAACTAAACTCAAATTTGAGTCGTTCTCATTCGCCGTGCACAAATTTGCTCATCCATCGAATAGCAGAGGATCAACTAGATTACGTGAAAGACAAACGGACGACGAAAGAAGCTTGGGACACTTTGAAGAAAGCATTTCCGGAGTGATTTGAGATTTGGGCGTAATTGCTTTTGTAAACAAACGCGCCAATCACCGATTTCTCACGAATAAAAACTCAATCTCATAAACATACTGTACCAAACGACAGAGTACCCGAGCAAAGACGGTTAACAAAATGAAAGCAAATCGATATTAAAGTTTGCAGTTCTTATCATAATGAAAACTCATTTTGATTTCAATTGTCGCGACATAAGTCTGATATCATATTGTGCTTTCATTAAGCAGTAAAAACTTTTTAAATGAAAGCAACTTAACTTGAGTTTTGCTGTTAACGTCTTGTTTAAAATTTAATTTTAGTTCATATGTCGTTTATGTCTAATGATTATTTTTTATTTGTTTTGGGGGGAGGTAGCTCATCGATTCTTCCGGTTCGCCTCCTAGCATCGTGCTATAAGGTACCAGGCGATAACCAGGGTAGTTGATCGATAGCCCGATGACGTCATTTCGTTGGTGTCTGCAATGGGAAATTCTCATAGCAGGCGTTGACGATGGGACGTTGTCGAGTTGTTGAATAGCAACTATCGTGGTAACTCACCGATTACCTGTCGATCTGCCAAATTTGGAAAGACGTCTGCATTGAATTGTCTCATATAATAATATTCCGCCCACTATATCACAAGAAATTACGAGTAGCTTAGTGGAATGGAGATAAATTAATCATTGGGTACAGGACCAAGTCTCCCCTGGGTGGTGCCAGAAGATGAGCGCAATAGAATCATCAAGTTGCCATAAGGCACGGAATGAGACTTTTGCATGGCTGGGTAGTCAAAGTCTTCCATTCGTTAGTCATTTCAGGTGGATTAGAACAGATTTAGGTTTAGGGTGGGCGTTGGCCAGATTTGGATTTTTCAGATGTAATCCTAAATAGGACCTACATTATTTAATACACTAGTAACCTCAACTTCTGTCACAATGCACAGTGGTACAGAATGCAGATTTAGCTGGAATGATATGTTTTGAGCCTGAAATTGAAGCTTTAGACTAAAAGTCTCTTGTACAAAGTTGTTCCTTATAGTTAGGCCCTCATTTTTATGATAATGAATTCTAGGGTGGTTCCTATTACCATTAAAATCAAAAATGTAACTTTTTTTTTGAATAAATTAAGGTATACATTCTACGGTAAAGTTATAGCTGAGCTAAT